GAAGCCCTAGCAGCTGTTGCAGCCGTGAAAAAATTTCACGAATTCCTTTTTGGCCATTTTTTCGAGCTGGTCACGGACCACAAACCCCTCCTGGGCCTACTAGCCGGGGACAAGCAGACCCCTCAAGTCCTCTCCCCTAGGATGACAAGGTGGACTCTCTTCCTAGCAGCCTACTCCTACAGACTTATACACCGCCCGGGTAAAACACTGTCCCACGCCGACGCACTCAGTCGCTGCCCCTTGCCTGCCCCGGCTGAAGACCCTGCTCCTGTCCATGCTATTTTCGAGATCACCCAGTTGGACCTACCCATCACTGCCCTGGACATTGCCGCTAAAACCAAGGCAGACCAAACACTCGCCCAGGTGCTCGACTGGGTGAGGAGGGGGTGGCCGGGTGGCAATGTTGATAACAAATTCACACCTTTTAAGACTCGCATGCAGGAGTTGTCAAGTCTGCAGGGCTGTCTACTATGGGGCACTCGAGTGGTCATCCCGGCCTCACTGCGTACCCGAGTTCTGGAAGCATTGCACGAGGGACATCCTGGCATCGTGAGAATGAAGGCGTTAGCACGCAGCTACGTGTGGTGGCCGGGTCTAGACGAGGACATTGTCAATTGGGTAAGTTCCTGCAGCATTTGCCAGGAATCCCGTCCTGCTCCCCCCATTGCCACCCCTACTAGATGGGAAAGCGCCAGCGCTCCTTGGTCCAGAATTCACATCGACCTGGCCGGCCCTCTGCATGGGAAGATGTTCCTAGTGGTCGTGGACTCCTATTCCAAATGGATTGACGTAGCACAGCTATCCACGACCACCACACTAGCAATCACCAACGTGTTAACACGCCTGTTCGTAACGCACGGGCTACCCGACTCCATTGTCTCCGACAATGGCCCACAGTTCGCATCGACTGAGTTCAGCCGTTTCCCTGACAACCTGGGTATCCGCCACATTTTCACAGCCCCATTTCATCCTGCCAGTAACGGATTGGCTGAAAGGGCCATCAGGACCACTAAAGAAGCCCTGGCAAGGTTCAACAAGGATGACTGGCACCACAAACTCTCGCGGTTCCTGATGAGCCAGCACTCAACTCCTTGTTCAGTCACCAATAAGTCCCCAGCTGAGCTCCTGATGGGCAGGCGTCTGAGGACTGTATTGGACAGACTACACCCACAATACTGCCCTGACTCTCCCCTCGCTTCCACATCGGGGGTTAGACATTTTATCTTACAGGAGCCAGTTTTCGCGAGGAACTTCGCTGGAGACCCCCTGTGGATCCCGGGCGAGATCGTAGCCATCACCGGGCCGCGGTCGTATCGGGTCAGACTGGAGGATGGCCGCGTCTGGAGAAGGCACATAGACCAACTGCGCAGACGCCTCAGCACCATCGCCAGCAGGGACCCAGAGGCACTAGACGAGGGGAGGCTTCATCCTCAGCCTCACATCCACATCACGCCCGGCGATCAGTTCACACCTACAGCCGGTTCCGAAAGCCCGAACACAGACAGCGGCGCCCAGACAGTTGACCAGCCCGATCCAGTCTACGAGAGCACACCCCCAGTGATCAACCCTACGAGCCCAGGGCAGGCCCAAACCGAGGGGCACACTGGTGACACTTTGCTGACTCTGCCTTCCCAGGCAGACCCCGGACGGACAGACGATGTTCCAGAGCTACGCCGTTCCGGGCGCCAACATAAACCTCCTGCCTACCTCAGAGACTATGCATGTTCGCATCTGGGGGGAAGGGGTGTTATGTCCTGAGAACTCTAGGAGTTCTCACTCAGGTCCACTCACTTTATGTGGGCGTTCTTCCCCCTTTCCTCATTGGTTGGTTCTCCCCAGCAGCCAGCTATAAAAGCAGGCTGCGGGGTCCAACCAGTCGCTGATTGCTGCGAGCCAGTTCCAGGCGTGGCAAGCACGGTCAGCCCTTTATTGTTATAATAAAGTATTGTTGCACTCATGCTCTGGTTCAGCCTCTCATTGCTCAAACTTAACACCGGCCTTTAACCCCTGATAATAAAATCCTCTGCATACAAGCCTTAGGTTAAGACAAAGGTTCCCCTCGCACATACATGCTAGTCATTTCCAGCTCTAGGGGGCAGTGCTCATCTCCATTACAAAGCTGAAGAGTCAGCGCCGTCCAAACACGTCTCTGTGGTCATGTGGCCAACATGACTAAATACCAAAGGCGCACAGAACGCTGTTACCTTCCCACCAAAGTGGTCCCTATTTTTCTACTTGCATTTTTACACGCTTTCAAACTGCTAGGTTGGCAGAAGCTGGGACAAGTAACAGGAGCTCACTCCATTACAAAGTGCTAGGGATTTGAACTTCTGAACTGCCGACCTTTCTGATCGACCAGCTCAGTGTCTTAGTCACTGAGCCACCACATTAAGCCATAGGTTACCCCATTGCTTTTGGAGAGCCTGTTCCCACTCTCCTAAGGAGACCCTGATCAGAAACATTGCCAGGCAAGGAGGAGAAAGGAGGATGTGGTTAGAAAAGGCATCATTTAGTCGCCTATCTTCCCTCTTAAGGATCCCCTTTGGAGTGGAATCTGTTCCTCTTGCAACTAGCGAATTTCCTGTTTCCTTTTCTCTGTTGTGTCTTCCTGACATCCAAGCTACAGAGATGAATGGGGATGGGATCTGCAACTTCCTGGGATGGACAGAGGCCTGCGAAGGGAGGAGCGATTATGAGCTCCCCCCCTTGAAATGTTTAGCTCCCCTCCATTAGAAGAAGTGATAATAGCACCGTTTCCTGTGCTTTGATATCATGCTGACAGGATCTGCATAAAGCATTGTAGCTCAGTGAATGAGATAAAAGTAAGACCGGAGAGAGAAACACCACGCAGATCTGCTTGTGCGCCAGTTGCCAAAGAAAACACATAGATCACAACGGCAAATCTTTTAGCTTAAATTCTTGAAAGATTGGGGAAAGGATTGAATGCTATAATAAAGCTGGCCAGCTGACTTCTTAAAATAGCATACATAGGCCACCCCGATGTGTCATGACTCCATACAAATCCTTGAGGTGCCACATTCGAGATCAGTTTGTGGTGATCTGTGATGTATTTCAGTTGCTCTCTTTTGACAGAAATGTGTAGACAGATAAACATACATAACACAGTTCATAATGATCAAAGCACAATGATGCTTTAGAGCCATGATGGCGAACCTATGGCACACATGCCAGAGGTGGTACGCATATCCCTCTCTGATCTCCCAAAACTGGCCGTTTTCCAGGCTGTTTTTAGGGAATTTTCCAGCTGTTTTCCGGGCCATTTTTGGCCTGAAAAATGGCCAAAAATGGCCTCCAAAATGGCAAAAAACAGGCTATTTTCCAGGCCATCTTCAGGCCAAAAATGGTCCAGAAAATGGCCAAATACAGCAAAAAACAAAAAAACAAAAAACCAGGCCATTTTTTGGGCCATTGTCAGGTCAAAAATGTCCCAAAAATGGCCTTAGGCAGCCTGAAAAGGGCCCCCCAAATGACCAAAACAGGCATGTGGCCAACTGGGCTTCAGTTTTGTTACTCTGTCACACACACATGCATGGGCATGCACGCACATTCCACTTTGGGCACTCTGTGCTAAAAGGTTCACCATCACTATCCTAGAGAATACGCCTCACCCTTCCTCCTTAAAGAACACTCATAAATTGTCCGACAATTTAATCTTAGAAACTTTGACAAACATCAGAACTTGGCTGAATTTCAAGTCTTGTTTGATTTTCTAAAATGGCCTATTTAGGAGGCAGGTGAATCCCAGCTGTTTTCAGGAGCACTAAATATTGCTTTGGGGTTACTTTGACTGAAGGTGAATCTATTTGTAAAATTTAAAAAAAGAGCTTTTCTACCAGCTTGAGATTTATATCTATTTATAGTATTTACATTCCAATACAAAGATACGATACATAAATTATGTGCCAGAATTGGAGAAATTATGCCAATTTATCCCCAGTCCTGGAGGGGATTTTTTTTTTTTTGGAGAGCAAAGAATTGCACATAAAATTCTCTTCATATACAGGCCAGTAGACATCAGTAATCGGTCACTTGTCCCAATGAAGACAAAATCAGTAAAAAATAACTTCGAAGGTCAACTTTCCTTTCAACAGGCTACAAAAGGCAGTAAGTTACAATGCTCAGGATTTGCATTTGTGTGGTTATTAGCCAACTGGTGAAATCTACTATTTCATTTTTCATAGAAGCTTAGCTTGCACAAACTTTAATACAAAGTGTTCAGGCTGTAGCCCAATAGTTTTTTAGCTGCAGTAAAGGGTATGGGTTTTAGATTTTGTCTGCCTTATCACAGGTCTCAACTCGTCTGCCATTTGTCGAAACGAATGGCCAGTTCCACCACTGTGCAAAACCAGGCTTCATTTTTAACATGATTTATTATGTAAACCACCATTGCTTTAAGTCGTGCTAATACAGAGGCACCACATCTTTACATAATATGCAAACTGGAATATTAAGACTTTCAGGCCAGGTATTGCTTGCCGATTTACAAGACTCCAACACCACACATCTCCAGTCTAAGTTAACCTGACTTTCAGAATTGTGTTGAATTGTTGAACTCCCATATTGCACACTGGAGTTAAATCAATGAAGCCTTTCCTAATCAAACATAAGATCACCAGGTAAGGCATATTTAAAAGATTTTATTAAACTTGCCAAACAATTCTCACGTTCAATATAATAAAACCAGTGTGTATAACGCATGTCAGAATAGACACCATGCAGCACTTTGGGGAAAATTAAAATTCCATACAGTGTACAGTTAAGTGCCACACCCAAGAATTTACAGACACAGTAATTTACTGCAATTAGTCACTTGAAAAATAGTTTCTGAAAGAAACATGCCTTGTACTCCATTTGCAGAGAGGGGAAAATGCCAGAGGACTTTGGGGTAAACTCTGAAAAAATAATGTCAGTCTTTTAAGATTTTTTTCTGTAACGAGAGTCCCCCTAAGTCCATCAGGATTAGAAGAAAGCAAACACTGCTAATGTCTCTGACAAGTATGTAATCTTGAAGAATTGCTAATAGTGTGGTCTTTTTGCAGCCGGCAGGTCAGTCCATCCCCACAGTAACACCGCTGGAAGAGTTCTAAACCATGGGAGCCTTTTTTGTGGTGCTTTGTACACACCTGACCTTCCTTAAGGACAGGTTTGCAAATCTTGGACCAGAAGTGACGGGCGCAACAGAGTCCTTCAGCGCAGTCCGAAGAGCGGAGACATGCAGCACCTTCTTGGCCTAAGGGGAGAGAGAGAGAGAGAGAGAGTTGAGAATACAGAAGATTCATTCACAGTCTCATTTTGTACTGAGGTAATTTGAAAAGCTTCTCTAACTTGATGTGGAATGAGACAACTCATCACAGCCAACTCACTGCGGGACACCCAAAGGTGCTTTTTTTTTTTTTCTTCCAAAGAGGCAAATTGACTTTCTGGTTTTTCTTTGAGAAGATGTTTTGCTTCTCCTCCAAGAAGCTTCTTCAGCTCTGGCGATATTTTAATGTTTAGTCATTCACATTTAATTCTGTCCCTTCTTTTTTCAACCTTGTTTTAATGATTCTATTCTGCCATTTCTTTGATAATTAGTGTAACTTAGTCTCGCAGTGAGTTGTCCTAAGACAAGCTGGCTGTGGTGAGTTGTGCATGGCGAATTGTCATAGACCCAACCCTGATGCTCTTCCCATTGCCATTCCAGCAGCCTAGCAAGGAAGGGCAACGCACTTGGGAAGCACAAAGATGGAGAAGGCCGAGGTAATCTAATAGATTTGGCTTCATTTGAGAGGAACTGAGTTGCTACTATTGGCATCTACTATTGGCATCAACCACAAGGGGGAAATAACTAGTGTGCCTGCTGTACATGTGATCAAACTATATGTACCTGTAACACCCTTTGGTCCCGTGCCAAATACTTAAGCTCTCCTAGTTTTAGGAGAAGTGATCTACTCCGTGGTGGCGCAGTGGTTAGAATGCAGTACTGCAGGCTAACTCACTACTCAGGAGTTTGATTCTGAGCAACTCAAGGTTGACTCAGCCTTCCATCCTTCCAAGGTCAGTAAAATGAGGACCCAAAATTGTTGGGGGCAATATGTGGACTCTTTAAACCGCTGAGAGAGGGCTGTAAAGCACCGTGAAGCGGTATGTAAGTCCAAGTGCCATTGCTATTCATACTAAATTGTTCACTGCAAGGAACAATTAGAACATTGGAAAAGCAACCCATAGAGCTATGCAAATAAAATGCTGACAAAAGCAAAGAGACATTGAAAACCAACCCAAATAACTAAAGCTCACCTAAGTGTAGGAGTTTGAAGAGGAGACTAAAAAGCATATCCACAGAGTTCTTAAAAGTCTTTCTACCAGTACAGGTAGCCCTTGATTTGCAATAGTTTGTTCAGTGACCATTTGAAGTTACAGCGCTGGGGGAAAAAAGTGACTTTTTTTCACACTTAGGACCATTGCAACATCCATGTGCTCACCTGATCAACATTCAGATGCTTGGCAAGTGATTCATATTTATAAAGGTTGCAGTCACATGATCACCTTTTGCAACCATCTGACAAGCAAAGTCAATGGGGAAGCCAGATTTGCTTTAAAATGTGTTGCTAACTCAACTACTGCAGTGATTTTACTTACCAAACATGAAAAGAAAGGTCCTAAAATGGCACAAAGCTCATTTGTCTCACCTAGCCACAGAAATTTTGGGCTCAATTGTGGTTCAGGCAAGGAGTACCTGTATTATTTTCCCCCTCTAACACAGGGGGTCTCCAGCCTTGGCAACTTTAAGCCTGGAGGACTTCAACTCCCAGAATTCCCCAGCCAGCTTTGCAGGTTGGAGACCCCTGCTCTAACAGCTGGTGTCTTATGTACTCCAAGTTCACTTGCATCAACCCAAAATCAAGCACAGCAATGGTTTCTCAGCAATGAAACAAACATGTACATGCTTTCGTTGTATCCCACAAATTCTGTAAAGATGTGTGATATTTTGTGTTGTCTTTTAAAAATAGTTCTAATTCTTTTATTACTCGTCCAGTATATCCCTTTTCTTTCAGAATTTGTGGGTCTGGCACACTCACCATGTTGGAAAGGGGACTTCTTGCCAACAGAGAGTTTAATAATCCAAAAAAATCTACGATTGCGCTGAAATGGATAAACTTACTCTAAAATTAAAGGAAAAGGAAGACTCAAAGTGTGGGAAAACTGGTACAAATGGATAAATGACAGAAATAAGCGAACAAATAAATAAGGAATAGTCTAAAAAGATAAATGTGAGAATAACCAGAAATATGAAATATGTATTAGAATAATAAAGATGTAAGCACCATCAAAATAATTTGTAATGTTTATGTTTTTGATACTATTTTCCATTTTAACGAGTTGTATTGTTTTTTTGTATATATTCTTTAATGTTTAATAAAGGTTTTTTAAATAAAAAAGAAAAAGAAATAAACATTACACAATTGTTTATTCTTTTCTGGATTTCAGAGCAGTGCATTATTGGCCTTACCTTTTATGTGGTACATTTGGGATGAAGTCGTGGTCCTTTTCAGATGGGAGTCCAAAGTACCATGGTCAAAATTTTCTATGATGTCTTCAAACCTTCCAGGGTGAAAAAGGTCAAATTCTACACACATTCCTGACGAGGGAGGAAAACAATCATGAACACCAGTCAACTTCCCAAGAATTAAAAGAAATGCTAATATTCTGGACATTGGCTATTCGGATGCTAGAGGACTGCAGATTAACCACTGAGGCAGAAACTATCTATTGATCACAGAGAAGAGTCATTCTGAATCCAAACCATGTAAATAAATATATGACTTGGTGCAGATCTCTTTTTGGTTAGGTTTTCTGTTAATATAGGAATTTCCTTCAGCATTGGAGCCTGAATGAGTAGTAGCAAAGAATGTATCCAAGCACTAATGTTATCTTCTCATTAGATCCTTTCAAAGCTTGACTTGAGATAATAGCCTTAGAAAAAGTGTCTAGCTTAATAATATGTTGCAGGTAAAATATCCAGGTTCTCTTTGGAGTTTTATTAAATTTGAACAGCCCATGATGAGAAAAAAAAAGAGGCTAGTTAAGATATTCTTTGGCTACTTGGCTCATGCAGAAAAAAAGAGATTATTGAACTGTATGCATTAATCCGTCTGCAGGGACATTTAATGTTTGCTTCTTTAAAAAGCCATTCCTAAACAAGGCAAAATAACATGCCTTGTTCCTTGCACAATCCCATTCCAGAATATGGAATATACACCTTATATGTAAAGAGAAGCAACCTGGAATTCAGGACAAACTTCCTAACAGTGAGGACAATTAACCAGTGGAACAGCTTGCCTCCAGAAGTTGCAGGGGCTTCATCAACGGAAGTTTTTAGGACAGATAGCCACTTGTCTGAAAGGGTATAGGCCAGGGTGTCCTGCTTGAGCAAGGGGTTGGACTCCAAGGTCCCTTCCAGCTCTACTCTGATGAAATAGATTTCCCTTATTCCAAAAGTAAGGATACTTAGAGTTTACAACAGGGGTGTCCAACCTTGGCAACTTTAAGACTTGTGGACTTCAACTCCCAGAATTCCTCAGCCAGCAAAGCTGAGGAATTCTGGGAGTTGAAGGCTGAGGAATTCTGGGAGTTGAAGTCCACAAGTCAAAGTTGTCAAGGTTGGACACCCCTGGTTTACAACCTAATCCCTTTTGGGTTTGGCCAATTATCCCTTGGCCTTTAAACATAACAAATACACAAAACTCTTCACGAATGATGGATGCCAGAGGGAGCCTTTACCACAAATTCTATGGGACTACTATGCAATCCACTATGGGTGACCTCAAAAAATACCAAACCCTGCTAGGTTAGAACCTGAGTTCAAGACTCCTCCCTCACCCCCCAGGAGTGGAAACCAGGCTGGGAATCCCAGAAGAACGACTGGCAAGTCCGTTTCATCACAGGAGGTGCTACCAAGCACTACAACTTGGAGGTGTCCAGGTGAGGCCTGAGAGATGAGCAAAACAATCTCCACCCCCCTCCAGCACCCACAAAAAGCCTTCTCAAAAGAACCAAAGACAATCCTTCAGACCAGGGGTCTCCAACCTTGGCAACTTTAAGACTTGTGGACTTCAACTGCTACCCTCAATTAATGCTATAGAGCACTGCACACCAGAACAATTAAACACAAGTGCAGTTTTCTTCCCAAATGCCATCACTCTGCTAAAGAAAAAGTTCCGTCAACACTGTCCAGCTATTTACAAAGTCTGCATTACTACTACTAACCTTCTCATCACTCCCCATCCCATCCCCTCCCACTTGTGACTGCAAGACTAACTTTGTCACTTGTATCCTTATGATTTATATGGACTGTTTCCTTGTATGATTTGATTGCTTATTGTACCCTATGACCAGAGGTGGTATTCAGCAGGTTCTAGAGAACCTGTAGCAAAAATTTTGAGTAGTTTGGAGAACTGGCAAATACTGAATGGCCCCTCCCCCATCTGGGTCTTCTTTTGCCATGCATAGGAGAATGGAAAGCAGGTTAGTGGGGTGGGGAGGGAATGGGGATTTTGCAGTAACCTTCCCTGCCACACCCACCAAGCCATACTCACAGGTAGTAAAAAAAAATTGAATCCTACCACTGCCCATGACTATTAAGTGTTGTACCGGATGATTCTTGAAGAATATATCTTTTTTTATTTACACTGAGAGCATTTGCACCAAACACAAATTCCTTGTGTGTCCAACCACACTCGACCAATAAAAGAATTCTATTCTATTCTACTCCCAGAATTCCTCACCCAGCAAAGCCCGCTGAGGAATTCTGGGAGTCGAAGTCCACAAATCTTAAAAAGTTGTCAAGGTTGGAGACCCCAGCTTCGGACGGCTGGGGAATTTCCTCTCTCAGACGGACTTTTTTTTAAAAAAAGTTTCTACGATAGGCTCCGCGCTTGCTCCCCACTTCCTCGGACCCCTAGAAGACGCACCGTTGTTGCAAAAGTTGCCCGAGCAGCACATGGCGTCGCGGAAACAGCGCTTGCGGCGTTTGCGGCAGGTCAGACAAACCAGCCCTCCTCCTCCTCCTCCTCCGGAGATGGCCCCCCGGGCAGGGGTGGAGCAAAACTCTTCGGCGTTGCAATCCTCGTCCGCGTCACACAAGGCGAGCTGCGGGGGCGGGGGCAAGAAGAAGCGGAGGGGCAGGTGAGACCCAAGCCATGGGTGACCCCACCCACACGGCCCATTGCCTCCGTCTCTTCCCCCCCCCAACAAGCTTGTTTCCCCCCCCAACACACCTCCGCTGCCCTTACCTTCTGCGAATCGCCGGCGCGGCTTTTATTGCTTCCGTCGTACATTGCCCCGCTCCCGCCGCTAAGCGAGGAGCCACCGGCCGGCGGGTTCTTGATGGAGTTGGAGGCCAGCGCGTTGGCATGGAAAGGGACGGCGGCGGCGGCGGGGGTCCCAAACCAGGCGGAGAAGCAGAGCGCCGCGGCCACGGCCGTCCACGCCCGGCAGGCTCCACGCCCACGCTGCGCCAGCATCTTCGCCAGGCGACCCGACCGAAGCAACCTTGGAGTAGGAGTAGGAGTAGGAGTAGGCAGGCAGGCGGTGCGCGATTTTTTTTTTTTCCCCCTCCCGGGAGTATCCTTTTCAGGGACTCTGCAACGAAGTGTAGACTCGCCGCTTGGTGCCTTTGGCGCTGCTTTTATAGGCTCCACGCCTTTCGGATTCCCGCCTCTCCAAGCGGGGGGAGGAGGGAGGAGGAGGAGGAGGGCGCGCAGGGTAAGCAAGGGTGGGGTTATAAAACGTGAGGAAGGGGGGTGGGGGAGGTTTTGGAAAGGTTGGAGGCATCTCCGCCAAGTCACGGGCTCATTCTCCATCTGCATTGAAATTAAGACCCAGGCCAACTCTTTTGAAGACAGCAAAGCCCACATTTTGGACAGAGCAAAGGGGGTCGCTGGTTTGAAAGAGGGGTGAAAGAGGCCATGTAGGTCAGAATGGACCAGCCCTCTCTCAACAGAGAATTGCTAGAGGATACGACACCCTTTATCTTCTCCAACCCTTTCAACAGTTTTAAGAAGGCTCCGCACCATGTGCTTCCCCCTCAGGTGATCCTGAGGTAAACCTCCAGCGGCCTTAACGACCCCCCCCCAAGGATGCAAACGTCCAGCTGTCTGCAAGGAGTATCAACCCTTCTGTTCCCCACCATCCAGTCAGAGCTAAAGGAAGCTCCTTGGATGAGAAGCGAAACGACTTCAAAGGAAAAAAAAATCAAGAAAGGCCAGTTGTTGCCTAAAGCACTTTGGGGACCGGCTCTTTGGCCTTCAAGATGGGTGGGGGGGCAGGAATGTCTATTTATTGCCAATAAATGGTTTTCCAAACCGTTGGGCGCGATTGCATTAACATCGGCATCACAGGTGGTTTCCGTGGGAAAGGAGCCCCCGCTTCGATTTCCCCCACTCGCATTTAGGGGCGGCTCTGTCCTACCCGCTGTTGCTTCAGTCGCCCCCACAGGAAGAGACCCGGAGAACCGGAGCAAAAGCCCTTCTGCCTCCTTCTCTTTGGGCCACCAATCGCGGTCGGAGTCCTCTAGGAGTTGGATGGGGGAGAACCAGGCGCCTATAAGGCGTTAAAAGAGACACTAGGCTTTGGGGGGGGGGGTCAGGCGGTCTTTGGCCTTTGCCATTCGTGCAGTTCCGTCCTAAAGTGGGTTTATGCCAAAATTCAAGCCGGTTCAATAAAAGGATAATTAATCTCGCCCCCGCCCCCCCACAAGCCCTGATAGATCTGCTCTCGGAAGAGCCTAAAGGGGTTTGAATGGGCTCCGTTACTGTATCTTTTACTCATTAAAAAAAAGTAAAGTTGGACGGGCTCTCCCTACTATATTTTATTCCAAAAATACTGCATTGGAGGAGAGGGGGAGCAAACACAGCATGAACACCTTTGACAAGACAATCTGTAGGTTTGTGGATTGCGGCTCTTAAAAGTCTTCAGGCGGGGAGACTGAAAGCCCCTTCCCCGTTTTCCCGGCTTTCTTTTTAAAACCTCTATTTTTAGTTGCAGAATGTCGTCGTCGTCGAAACGGGGCTGGGAATGGGTAACAGCTGGGTGTTTGCATGGATCCGCCTGGTTTCCAACCGAGGCCTCCGACGTCCTCCCCCCCCCACCCCCAAAAGGGGCGCGATTTCCAATAACCCCAAGAAGGGAACTGGCTGGCAGGGGCGGCATGTCCTAAATAATGGCCCTTTTGAGGCGCTGGCTTCGGAGGAAAGGCGAGAGACCGCCGTTTGGCAATCGCCGGTTAAAAGAAAGGGGCGAGCGGCTCTGTGGGATTTTGCAAAAGGGACGGAGGCGCGCGGTTTAACTCTCTCTCTCTCTAACTCTCTCACACTCTAACTCTAACTCTCTCTGAACTTTTGGGTTAATTTTCCAGCCTCCTCGTAAGGGGGTTTCAATTGGGCAGCGCTGGTTGAACCACCCAGGGGAAGAGATCAAAAGCCCAAGACGAATCTCTGAGCCAAATCCTCGTCGCCCTTTCAAAGCCTTCTCCGAACAGATGGCTTGATGGGCTGAGCTCGATAAGAAGTCCTTTCTTGATCCTCAACCTCGGTTGGAGTTGTTAATTGAGCCTAGTCTTGGGTCTACATCTGATAACTCAGGTTGGCTTGATCGCGAGTTCAAAGGCAAGCAAGCCAACTGGCAAATAACCTGGGGAGGGGGATCCATAAACCCCTTACCATGTGGTTCTTCAAGATGAATTCATCTTCAGATGAATTCTGCTCAAGGGTTTACATTGAGGAAAACCTGTACTGTAGTTCTCAACAAGTAAATGTAAGCTACAGCCGTGCTCCCAACCAGACGTACATCTACTGAATCGAAGTAGAATACAGCTGGAAGGGATCTTGGAAGTCTTCTACTCCAGCAGAAGAACCTCTATACTATCTCAAGACAAGCGACTGTCCAGTCTCCTCTTAAACAATTCAATAGGTTTTATTCCTAAGTAAATACATAGGGATTTAAATACTAAGTTAAGTAAGGATAGACTGGATTTCCTTCACCTATTGGAAACTTGATTTAGGAAAGCAAAAAAAACCTGAAACTTTTTTTTTACAGGTGAGAACTGTCAGATCAAATGGGAGTGACCAATAGATTTGATTTCATAGGGTTCCATGGGTGGCGGAGGAAAAATATTTCAATATAGTGATCATTTAACGAAAGTAGTTAATATTTTATTTTTGTCTTACACCTTTTTCATAACATGCTTCCCAAAACTAATGCCTAAAATGCCCAAACTAGAGGCATTCTGACTCATCAAGGGAGTACTTGCTTTAGGGGGGGGTATAAGTAGCTTCAGGATTAGCCTCTGGTGAGCCACAGAGATCAAGAGGAAGCAATTTGCTCCTGGCTAATCAGTATTGCAGGCATCATTATTACAAGGGAGTCACAGAGCAGGTATAATAAGCACTTGGAAGCACTGGAATATTTGGGAGCACAATACAACCCCTAGTATTGGTAAGTTGCTTGGGATAATGGGACACGAAGCCCAAAATATCTGAAAGGCATTTTGTTGCTCTAACTGCACGGTTGGTAATTATTAAGGAATATTTTTAAAGTTAAATTCAGATGAGTCACTTTCTCCGGCTTCTTCATTTACTCACATGTAACAAAACTAACTGGTGGAACTGGGTGTTGAGATTGTATAACTGGAACTTCTTACTAAAGGAATCTAAACACAGGTGGTTGTTTAGCCTTGACTTCCGCCACTGAGAACTCACCATCAAGTCATGGTTAGTATTGTTAGAAAGTTTATTCTACTATTCAGTCAAAATCGGCTTTCCTGTGATTTAAATCCAATATTCCCTATTCTGCATTCTAGAACAATGGAGAACAAGCCTTGACCTGCTCTAGGATATCCTTCTAGGGATTTGAAGAATGACATCACATCCTTCTTAATCTCCTCAAGTTGAACCATTCTCAATTTCTTCATTCTCTCCTCATAGGACTTAATTTCTAATCCTGTGGTTTTCAGTTTCATCATGATACGGCACTAAATATATCTCTAGGAACACAAACACACATGAGATGATTCAAGGTTGAGGTGCAAATAGGCACGTTGCTTTTCTTTCAGATTTGGAAGAAACTCTTACCAGTGGTGAAGCTGGCCATATTTCATTTCATTTCATATTTCTTATTCCATATTTCATTTCATTATTTCCATTCCATTCCATTCCATTCCATTCCATTCCATTCCATCCATCCATCCATATCTAAGCTTAAATTGTTTCTCTCTTTCTGCTGTCTCACCACTATGTGAACGTTGGCTTTCTATTTTTCAGGAAAGCATCTATCTAGGCAATCTTTTGATACATACAAAAATCAAGCCAGGGTTACTTCTTACAACATTCTATAGTAGCAAAAATTAGATTTTTGTGAAGAGCAGGATAGGATGGATATGACACTATTGAACTTGCATAGTGGAGACTGAGAATACTGAAGGATACCATGGGCAACCTAGAAAACATACCAATGGATTGTTGGTTAAACCCGTTAACTCAGATTTTTCCTTTAAGGCACAAGTTCAAATTATCTTTCTTTGGATATATTGCGGAGAAGGCTCTAAACCAGAGGTCCCCAAACTTGGCAACTTTAAAACTTGTGGACTTCAACTCCCAGAATTCTCCAGCCAGCATAGCTGAAGTCCACAAGTCTTAAAGTTGCCAAGTTTGGGGACCCTTGATCTAAAGCTTAGAAAGTTTGAAAAGAGAGGGGGGGGAGAAGAAGAAGAAGAGGAGGAGGAGGAGGAGGAAGAAGAAGAGGAAATGAAGGAGGAAGTGGAGGAGGAAGAGGAGGAGGAAAAAGAAGGAAGAGGAAGAGGGAAGAAGGAAGAAGAAAAGAAGGCAACCAGCAACAAAAGAGGGGTGACTGGAAGCATTCGAAGTACAGCTAGCCCTCGGCTTACAACTGTTCGTTTAGTGACCGTTGAAGCGAAAGAGAGAAGAAAGCGTCCAAGGGCCAGTGCAGGAGGCCAGCATCGCTGCCTATAGAGAAGGGAGAGAAAAAGAAAAACTCGCCATTGGGTGGATTCCCAACCCAAGCTCCACCCAATTGCTCCAAAGTGACGAAGGGAAGACCGCCGCCTTGGGCTCCTCCGCGCTGTGTTTTCTCAAGCCGAAGCCGGGCCAACGACCCCGGGTCAAATGAAGCTGGCTGGGGCTTCTCTTTGAAGCGTGGAGGTTAGAAAAACAAAGTCCCCACGATTCCAGGCTTTCATCACCCGTTGGGCGGCATCTGCAAATAAGACTCTCCCCTTGCTTCTCTCTCTCTCTCTCTCGGATCGCGCCCGCCGCACATCTGGCAGGCGCGGAGAAAGCCCACTCGCGCAGCTCCCCCTGGTGGAGGC